AAGTCATTAAGAGCATGAGTTCATGCATCCACTAATTGTAATTGATTTGTGTGTGTGTGTGTGTGTGTGTGAGAGAGAGAGAGATAGAGAGAGATTTAGTTCGAATTAAATTTAGATATTGGTAACTGGATACATTAAATTGTAACACAAGTTTCGAAGCATTTAATTAAGTACCGCCACTAAATCCACTGATTTTTTTTTAAATGAAAAAGCTTTCTTGAAGCTTTCATTTTAGCTTTAATTGAAAGCTAAAGGATTTAAAATTTAATTTTTTCAGTAAGTAAAATACTCTGTGGTGCAATTTAAACAGAAATTATATTGATCTGAATCAATTATTCTCAGTAAAATCGGCCATTTTTACAAATTTGTAAACAAAAGTTAATCCTCAGTTTTAAAAATCTTGCAAAAAATATGTACTTCCGAAACGTTATTTGAGGAAAATTGGCAAATTAGAGTTAAATTAATCTGATCTGAATTAAATATTACTTACTTATAGCATAAAATGTTCTATACAAGCATTTCATAACCACGGTGTCTTGTTTTTGTGACGTGTTAATTGAAAAAAATATGTTTATTTAAAGTTGGGGCTTATGAATGCCAACATTTTAGGACCAAAAGTTTAAAACGGCACCTAAATTTAGTGAAGACCTAAAAGGACAAAAATGCGAATTGTGCTGCCAGTGTAAAAATCGCAATGCCCCCAAGTTTGAAAATGGACACTAGAGTAACAATTTCCAATGTTAAAATGAATATACCAATCGAAAAGAAGAAAATCAGTAATTATAACACTTTTAGCCACCTTAATTTATATTGTTTTCATTTTTTAAATTTTATACAAACTGAACGGATGAATTTGCAAAAAGAATTATATATTTTAACTAATTATCTTTATAATGTATAATTGTGATCATGCAAATAATACAAAGTTATAGCTCCATGCGATAAATATTCGCATTTGAGAATCATATGCAGACACAGAGTTGTGTGTGTGTGTGTTTGTGTGTGTGTGCGAGTGAGTGAGTGAGAGAGAGAGAGATAGATAGATAGATAGATAGATAGATAGATAGATAGATAGAGAGAGAGAGAGAGAGAGAGAGAGATTTAGTTAGAATTAAATTTAAATATTGATAAATTTAATTGTAATTGTAGAGGACTTTCACATTTAATTAAGTACCGCCACTAAATACACGTTTTTCTTTTAAATGTAAAAACTTTGTTGAAGCTTTCATTTTAGCTTATATGAAAGCTGAATGATTTAAAATTTAATTTTTTCAGTAAGTAAAATATTCTGTGGTGTAATTTAAACAGAAATTATATTGATTGGAACAATTTTTATCAGTAAATTCGGCCATTCTCACAAATTTGTAAACAAAAGTTAGTTCTCGGTTTTAAAAATCTTGCAAAAATAAAATATATACTTCTGAAACGGTATTCGAGGAAAATTATCAAATTAAAGCTGAATTAATCTGATTTCAAACATACTTACAGCATAAAATGTTTTATACAAGCATTTCTTAACCACGGTGTCTTGTTTTTGTGACGTGTTAATCGAAATATTGACAGCCAGTTGACAGCCGAACATGTTCATTTTTAAGTATGGTGGAGTAGACGATAAAGTTTGAGGGTTTCTAACCTGTAATGTGGGAACAACCCTTAAAATACGTAATCTCTTGATGACAAGTTTATAGGTTTGGACATCCATAGTTTGAAATTCTGCACGTATATCACACATAGAAAAACAAATCGAAATTTTTAAAAAAATATAATATTATAATAAGCTTTACAATATACGATTAGTAGGTATAGTTTTACATAATAACAATATTTTCTAAGAGTTATTTGATTAAAAATGAATTTTTAAAGATTTTAAATCTTTATGAATTATTCAATTAAAATTGTAAAAAATGAAAACAAATCTTGTAAAAATTCATTTTTCGTCAAAAAACTTTCCTTTTTTCAGACAATATTGTCTTTAATATATATTATTCTTAAAAGCAATTAAAAACTTCTCTAATTAAATAATATATTGGCCTTATTGTGATTTTTATTTTTCGATTTAGTACAGATTTTTGGAAGACGAGTGTCCGATTTTGAAAAATATTCGGTGATTTAAATTCTTTAACTAATATAGTCACTAAAAATTATCACATTGAATTTCTCAAGTTTTCATAAGATTAAGTCGTGGAGGTGAGGTAACATATGTAAAAAAATATTTTACAAAGATTTTCTAAAAAAATTTCAAAAATAATTTAATTCATTTGTGAATAAAGCCTGAAAATTTAATTAAAATCCCAAAATTATTTGATTTTTGTAAGAATTTCTAAATTAATGTTTGTCACCGCAAAAAAGACGTTAGTGTTTGCTATGCTAAAAGTTAATACAACCGCTGACGCAAAGGAAAAAAGTTTTTAATCAAAATTTCGAATGTTCTAAAAAAGGGTAAAAAATTTAATTAAACATACAAAAACACTTTGATATTTCCTATTAATAATTACATAAAGATTTTGACGATAAAACTGTTTTCATTACGTTTGGAGAATGTTTTTGGTCACGGTATGATTTAGCGTTTTCGTGGAGATATTTATATTTAATCATCGAAATAAGAATTCATTGTTCAGGAAATGAATGATAATTTTAACTGAAATCATGGTATGTATCTACACAACATCAAAACATGTCATTTACACTAAACCAAAGTAATCTAACTAAAGCAAAATAGGTTATCTCACAGAGGATTGCATGATTCAGGTAAGACGTGTTCAAGGTAGAATGTAAAACGTAGTAGCAGAAAGATTGTTCTACCTATAGATACATTACAAAAGGCAATCAACTATAGGTGTGAAAGTAAATCTTCCATGTCGGCCAGCTGCTGATAGCAGTGATGTCATAAAGGTGGGACACATCCAAAATAAACGTACAAGATAATTGCGTGAACAAAACAAGATTTATTCTTATTTATAAAACATTTTCAATTAAACATTTAGCACTATAATTTTAGTTCCTATTAACTGATATAAAATGTTTGTGAAACTTTTTAAAGTCTAAGTGATAAATCAATTTATAAAAAAAGTTCACAGAAAAGTGAATAAAGATAGCTACCAATAATTTTAAGTTTAAATGATACAGAAATGGGCAAAGAAATAGATAGCATGATTACAGACTGTGTGTCAAGATTCAGAAAGGAAACTGTCGCGACCTATGTGGCAGTTGACCTAAATATGACAACATATTAATAACCTGTCAACAAAGGGATTTAATGATGAATCTAAGACCCCCCCCAAAAAAAAAGAAACAACAAACAAACAAAACAAAAAACAAAACACCAATCAAATTAAAAATCTGACGAGAATTAGTTAATCTAACAATTACTTTACTGGAAAATTAACGAAATATTACTTACCTTTGATTTAATATGTATTAAAAATATGCTTGTTTATAGTTGGTGCTCATGCATGCCGACACTTTGGGATCAAAAGTTTAAAATGGCACCTAAATTTATGAGCGTATCTTGTAACCGTCAATTTAGTGAATATCTAAAAGGGCAAAAATGTGAATTGTGTTGCCAGTGTCAAAATCGCAATGCCCCCCAAAATGGACACTCGAATAACAAGTTCCTATGTTAAAATAAATATACCAATTGAAAAGAAGAAAATCAGTAATTATAACACTTTTAGCCACTTTAGTTTATATTGTTTTCATTTTTTAAAATTCTATACAAACTGGATAGATAAATTTCCAAAAAGAATTAATTTGCTTTTTTTTAGACATTTGAAAATATAAATTATTGAATTATGTGGCATAAACGCTTGGGCAATCATGTCTCTTTCAATTCATGACTGTCTAAGCAGAAGATTTTCCCACACTAGGTTGCCGTTTCTCTGCTGTGGTAGACTGGTTGCCAACCAAGTCTATAGGACCCAGTCCCATATTTGAGGTGGGTGGAGAAGAAGCGAATACATACTTTTGGCATTTGCTTAGAATTCGAACTCGGCTCTCCGACTTCAACATTGCGAGCCGATATTCATTACACCACAACACACCAAAGAATACGTCAATAAAAAAGGAATTATAAAATAATTAAGTAAAAATATTTTAACTAATTATCTTTATAATGTATAATTGTGATCATGCAAATAGTACAAAGTTATTGCTCCACGCGATAAACATTTGCATGATTCAGGACGTAAATTTAAAGCAGAGGATTTCAAAA